TAGTGAAAATGCAGATCTGAGCTTAAACCTGTTGATCGTGGCTGTAGGCTGTGTTTCCAGTGAGCAGACATGGAGGTCTCTGAGTTCAAGAACAGGATTTAGTCTCTTAGTCAGGAAATAAACTTGTTTGACTCTCATTTGACTTAGAAGTTTTCTCCAATTTTGTTGAGCTTGTGAGGCAGCGCTTGCAGTGGAATCCAGTCACATCTGCTGCTTCTCAATGTTACAGTTGTATAGAAGCATAGTTTAGTGCTGCAAAGTCCAGCATCCCGTAGGATTCTTCCCCACTCCTGCTCAGTCTTTAATGTGACCCAGCAGTCTTTAATAAAACAGCAGCTCCACTTTCATTTATTTAGGCTGATGCGGAAATGTGGCATAAGATTACATCCAAAAACTCCATCGCTTTAGTCTTTGAACTAACTTGATTCACGGTGCCTCTGAAACCCAGCGTGGGGGAAAAAAATGGCAAAAGAGATTGGGGCAGAGTCGCTGATATGGAGGAATTTCCTGCCTGTGGTATGACCCTAACCATAGGGATTGCTCTTTGCAGTACTGCCTGGGTCCAGAAAATCAAAGCAGCATCAGAGCAGTACATCGAAACTGAGAAGAAGAAACGTGAAAAGGCTTATCAAGGTACCTGCCGAGTTCCACGTTTCCCTCTCATCCCCGCGGACACATGGGCAGGGCCTTTTCTGGAGGATGCCACAGTGTCTCTGTAGGATCTCCCTCTTCAGATCTACTGCCAGTTTTTACGGTTGCGACCAGTCCATTTATTTCTGACTTCTTTGTTCCCAGCTCGCTCACAGAAAACCTCAGGAATAGGACGCTTGATGGTGCACGTGATTGAAGCAACAGAACTAAAGGCCTGTAAGCCCAATGGTAAGTGAAGGAAATAGTGTCAAATCACTTTTATTCCTGCAGTGTTTGGAAAGGCTTGCTGAGAGGAGTTTGGTGATTTGGGAAACATTGTGGTTTTGGCTACAGCTTCTGAATGAATTAGCCGTTATTTACCTTCAGGGGAGAGAGTGAAGAGCAGCTCTGTGCTGCTCTAGGATATAGGCTTTGCCTGACCCACGTCTTCTGGACAGCAACATCGATGTGTGTCCAGGCAGCCTCCAGAGGAGGAGGGAGGTTTCTGCGCTGCAGAGGTGTTTCACTGCTTGTTCTGTGTTTAGGGAAGAGCAACCCGTATTGTGAAATCAGCATGGGCTCTCAGAGCTACACCACGAGGACCCTGCAGGACACCTTGAACCCCAAGTGGAACTTCAACTGCCAGTTCTTCATTAAGGATCTGTATCAGGATGTCCTTTGTATCACCATGTTTGACAGGGATCAGTTCTCACCTGACGGTAAGTATGAACCTTTGTTTTAGGAAAAGAATGCGCTTTTTTGTGACTTGGGGTACACAGTTCCTCACCAGCAGTTCCAAGAGCCTGTAGGTATGAATCCTTTCTGAGAAATGTTGTGTCAAAGCAACTCAAAATTCAGTAGCCTCCCAGAGCCAACAGCTCTGGGCAGTGAGATGTGATCCCACTCTGGCTTTTCTGTCAGACACAGAATTATTTTTTGGTCAGACTGGGGAGACAGAGAAGTTGAAAGCCAAAGTTTTTCTCTCTCCCTATAGGTGCCTGAAAATAAAAAAACCCACATTTTTTGGCAGCCAGTTGCTTCTAGTACTCTTTAAAAGGTTAAGTGCTTTTTCAGGGCTGTGACACACAGTTGATTATTGCAGATTTGCAAGGTGCTGCCCTGACCCGTTGCCCAATGTGTAACTATAGCTCAGTCTTTTCTCCTGTGAGGTAACGTGACTTTGTTAGGCTGCTTCTCCCAGTTGGACTGCTGAGTCTGTTGGTTTTTTTCAGTTCATGGTAAACTTTTAATGCACACACACAAAGATGTTATACATGAAATGGCCACAAAGAGGGTATATACTTTCTGAATAGGACTGTAAACCTGCTTAGTGGTAGTAATTGTTCTAAGGTCATCATTCTTGTGAAACGAATGATACATAAGCCTAATTAAAAGTTGGCTGAGCCAAAATAGTTGAATTTTTTTTTTTTATTGTCTTCATAGCACCACAGCTGACTTGCAAACAGGTTCCATCCCTTAACTCTGACCTTCCAGGTCTAAGACAGGAGAACATTTGAAAGTGTGTTTCTGAAAGGGAACTGTATTTTTAAAGCCCTTAGATCAAACTGTGACATAAAGGCATGTTTTCCATCCTCATTCCATAGCATTTTTGTCTTCTGAAAAGACCCTTTTTTGTCACTGCTGGCTGATTTACCCAGGGCTGAGGGCTACTCAAACAGGAGGCTTGGGAGCACTGAATACATGCTATGCAGCATTGCTGCTTAACCTGACACTTTCAGATTTTCTAAGCTTAATGTCTTTGCTTAACGAAATTTCTTATTCACTTGCCCAACAGATTTTTTGGGTCGCACTGAAATTCCAGTAGCAAAAATCAGAACAGAACAAGAAAGCAAAGGCCCCACAACTAAACACTTACTGCTGCATGAAGTTCCAACAGGTGAAGTCTGGGTCCGTTTTGACCTGCAGCTCTTTGATCAGAAAACACTCCTTTAAAAACGCTTTTTTAAATTTATGAAGGATGACTGAAGCTGACAGCCTGAACATTTTTTTGGTAAAAGATTCCTTGCCCCACACTGGTTATTAAGCAAGAGTTCCTGCTGCTTCCATATTTCCTCGTAGTTACTGGTTGTGTTTAGTTCCTTGCAGTGTTCAAAGTTGTTGTTGATCTATGCAAACACAAATGTTACTGTATATACAGTACTGTAGCTCAGTGCCTTTTTATTATGTTGGAATATCTTGGTTTTGGATGCCAATGTTTCCATTTTCAGGGCCATAGAAAGTATTAAGTAGAAATGTGGCGTCAAGATGTACGTGTATTTTATCACTTAGTCTAACATATAGACTGAGGAATGGTTGAAGCTCAGCACTAGAATCATTCCATTTGAAATCTGAAAAGTGATATCCACTGGAATCTTCCCGTCTCAGGATGATAGTTTTAAAGATTAAATGCTGAAGAAGCCTTAGCACTGGAGAAGTCTCCGATATATTGTATTTTCTTTAAGAATCAAGTGTAGTTCTTTACTTGACTTAGTTCTGCACTGAAATCAGTAACTGCTACTTGATTTTTCTTTCTGCTTCAGTTTGATTCATCATTCTCTGCTGAGACAATGTGGTTGTGAAGAATAACTAGAAAAAAATATTTTTAAATACTGTGACCCACAATAATGTGGAAAAATGCTCTTCAGCTTTTAGGTTTTTTCCTAAATGTAAGTTATTTGTGTACATTTCCTTGGTCTTACAGACCTCCATGTGAATCTTGAAGCTTTGACATTGCCAACATGTATATAGAGAGTAAAATATAAGTTTATTAATGTAATTTGTCTACAGATGTTTATTGATGCATAGTGATTTTTAAAAAAGTTTATTTTATTGTACAGAGGAATGTGAAATAATGAGAAAAACTTAGAAGACTAAATTCAAGAAAAGTTTATTACAAGTTTAAAAGGTTTGTTGGGGGGAACTGTCACCCCCACACAAATCTGTAACATGAGATTGGTTGAAAGCAAAATCTTTCTCTTGGCACCAAAATCAGGGATGGTTAAAAAAAAAAAAAAAGTTTGGTTATAAAGGGTTTGATACATTGTAACCATTGTACTGCCTCTTTAAACTGCTTTGTTGAAGAAGCACAGCAGCTGTTCGGAGCAGCACTTGTCCTTGTTTTCCATGGGTGCAGCAATACCTCCCGCTGTCTGACAGCTTCCCCCCACCCCATTGCCATCTGTGCACCCTCCTGTTACAGGGCTGAGTCAACCTCTGTTACTTTTAACAGTTTTTCTGTGGTTCAGTATTTCTAATCCTAAATAAAACTAAATCTTGGCAACTCTTGAGCGATTCTGTCTGTGCAGTGAGTTTGGAGCTTCTGGAATGAGCAGAGAGAAAATTCTGGTTTCAGGCTTTGACACGGGAGCTGCTGTGCGGTCACACCAGCAGCGAGACAGAGACCACGCTGGAACAAGAGAAACCGAGCTGTAGGGCACCAACAGCATTTGCTGCTCAGCACGGACTCTCTGACAAGCGCTAGACATTTTGGACAAGAACACTTAACCATCTCCTCTCCCCTCATTATTTCCTGCCTTCTCAGAACAACCAGGATGTACGTTAAAGTTTGATTTACTGCTGGTACACTGCCTCCAGGAGAAAGGCCTCTGACACCTTGGTAGTAGCCCAACATTATTTTGCAAATAATATTTTGCAAGACATTCACTGTGGGAGTTCTGATAAAGATTTGAACAAACACAACCAAACTATTATTTCCTTATCAGTGCTTTCTAAGCTGCTCTTCTGTACGTACACATCTGCTGACCCCGCACATAACCAGGAGCAGCTCCTTCTCATTCAAAGAGAGGGTTTGTTCGGAAATCTCAAGGTGACCTCTTTCAGCTTCATGCAAAATTGCAACAGCTATAGCTAAATTTTGCACGCTTTGCCATTCCCTCAGCCCACTGCTACCATTCATGCTCCCTAAAGCGGACTCGGAGCTGTGGCTGTTGCCAGTGCTGGGGACACCACATAGATGCTGCACTGCGTAGAAGAGGGGCCTAGCAGATGACTTCACCTTTTCTCACCGGTTCTCTCCTTTAGTATGAAGATTCTGTCACCCTGTAAACCAGAGAACATCAGCACTGTCTTTGTAGGGCTGAGCCTAAGCTAAACCTCCTAAAATAGTAGGCTTTGGCCTGTAGAGCATGGACTGGAGCTGGAAATAACAGGAGCAGCATCTCAAACATTTCTTTGGCTGCGGGGTAGCAGTCCTTCAGAACCACATCTTTAAGACAATGAGTTTATTGCAGTTTGCCAGCAGACGTAGCCTGTTACCACTTGCTTTGGCAGAAGACGTTAACACATATTTTGCAAATGGTATGTTCTGATGGCTGTGCTGGCCACTGCAGTCAGCTGGAGGACAGTCGACATCATTGGCTCTCAACATCTTTGTGGTGGCTGATGACTCTCTGCCTTTAAACAGAAGTAAAAAACTATTGCCAGGCCATGTGACACAAAGGCTGCTGTACCCCAGCACAGCTTCCCACACTAGCTCTTCCCCACACCAAGGCACTCCAGGAAATGTTTGTCTTTCTTTGTGACCAGTTTTCCTTCTAGACTATGCCATTATCCCATAACTGCTCTAAACAGGCAGTTTCCCAACAGCCTTGGGCCAGGAAGAGGCATAAAACTCTAGGGCAGGGACTGGGGGGGAAGAGCAGGCCGTGTTCAGGAGGACATCAGGCTCCCAGTTCAGCTTTGATGTTTTTGTCACTAGGGAGCAGGCGTTCCCTTCAGGGGTGTATACTGCAATGGCAGAACCAGAGAGCTTTCAGAAGGGGTGAATCAGAGCACTGGGACTTTAAAAACAAACAAACAAACAAAACCATTATAAAGCTTAGCTAGAGGATGTAACTTTCCAGAGTGGTGTGCAGGTCTTTCAGCATAGGCCAGTCCTTTACAGGATTCATGGCTTGAGCCAGGACACACACCATACCGCAGCAGTCAGAGGACACCGGTTGAGCAAACATGAGACAAGGCCGAGAGAGCTGGGACAGTTCAGCCTGGAGAAAAGATGGCTCAGGGATCGCATCAATGTGTACAGACACCTGAAGGGAGGGTGCAAAGAGCACAGAGCCAGGCTCTTTTCAGTGGTGCCCAGTGACAGGACCAGAGGCAACAGGCACAAACTGAAACTCAGGCGGTATCCTCTGAACATCAGGAAACACTTCTTTACTGTGAGAGTGACTGAGCATTGGCACAGGCTGCCCAGAGAGGTGGTGGAATCTCCATCCTTGGAGACCTTCAAAAGCCGTCTGGACACAGTCCTGGGCAGCTGGCTCTAGGTGGGACAAGCTTTAGTGGGGGCGGGGGGGACAAGATGACTTTCCAGAGGTCCCTTCCAACCTTCACCAGTCTGTGATACAAGTATGCCCTCACACTGCTCCCAAAAAATCTAGAAACTAACAGCAAAAAAAAAAAAAAAAACAACAAAAAACCAACAAACCAAAAACCCCAAGCAAGTATCAACATTAAATCCTTTCAGATCTTCCTGTAAAGCACCCAGGAGATACTCTGCCGGGCTGCACACAAAAAATGCTGGAAACTCCCCACCAAAAGCCACTTTATATCAAGGCTCAGCTTGATCATCAATGCTGTACTTTAATACATCCTGCAGTCCGTTCCATACCTGAAGGCTTTTCCTTCACCAACAACACCCCTTTCTCAGGAGAAATACAGAATAAAGCAGAATTCACCATTAAATTTAAGTTTCAGCAAATACTCTGCTACGCAGCCAAGAAGGGGAGGCCTCATCCACTGTAGCTTTTGTACCACCTCTCAATAATCAAGACATTAGCTCTTAGCTCTTACCTCTTCCTTTGGTGGACCTCACTAGCAATGTAGGCATGTGGTATCTTCAGCCACTCAGCTGCATCCATACGTTGCCTGCTCAAAGGCAGCAGTGGCAGTTCTGCTTTACGGAGTTTGTTCAGGTCTCTGGTAGAGCATGGTCTTCCTGGCAGGAAAGTAACAAGTGCTTCGTGTGAGCATCTACTGTCACAAGCAAGGACAGCCCCCCCAATATGAAACACTTCCAAAGGATACCAGTTGTTTAAAATACCTGTCTCACACTGCTTGATAATGCCTGTCTCAATAAACTTTCTTTGACCGTCTTTTAACAGAGGATCCGGTAAAGTTGGTATTGAAACCTGTGACACAGACAGTTATTTCATGCTTACACACCAATACAAGCACTTTGTCAGAGAGTCTCAAAAGACCAAAGTCAGTGGTGAATGTCAAAGTACCATTGGTTAGCAGGGAAGGAGCATCAACTTTATTTTTTGTGAATAAAAACATGAGGCATGGACCTGAGTGGCCTGAGAAATGCTGAGCGTCTCAGCTCCTGTGGCAGGCCATAACACATTCAACAACTCTGCCGCAAAGTTAGACCACAGACATGAGATCTGATCTCCTGGAGGCAGCTGATGTCGATGAACGCTGTGTGGCACATTACAATGAAGTATCAGCTCAGTCCCCACAGCTGCTGAGGCCTCACAGCATCCAGAAGGGATTTAGAGAATTGCACTTCATGGCTTTGTGTTCGAGCCCTAACTCTTTTATTAGGTACCCAAGTCTTTGGTGCATTTGAGTGAGCTTCTGTAAAGATCATCTGAACTCTCAGATTATTTCCTTCTACAGAGCACACAACCCAGCTTGCCTAGGAACTCACCAACACTAGCTAGACAGGACACTTCCCACACTGCCACAATGACTTTGAGATGAGGAAAATAAACCTCCCCCCCCCATTGCCTACTGTGCCACCTAATCTGGGCTTAGTATGGATCCAAACCATGTTCCCAGTGAAAACCATTTTCTAACACCTTTGGGCTTAAATGCAGTAGGAGCTGGGACCTATATTTGCTCAGTTAATAAAACTACAATGTGTTGCTCTACACCAGTTCGATAGTAACTCACTCTGCCTCCCTTCTAACCATTAACTTCCTGCTGGTCAAAGGGTGCATGTAAACCTCACAGCAGAAATAACCAGCACACCTTCCAGCAGTCCGTACGGGTCTTCAGGAAGAAGGGATCGTACTCTGATGGGTCATAATCGTCCAAAGCCACATAGCCCTGCAGGAGAAGCAGGTAGCGGGTCAGGTCTCAGAAGCTGTTGGTGATAAAACAGTGAGCGAGCAGCCAGCCAGGCACGGTACGAACACAGCACCAGAGGTGGTGGAGAAAAAGACTCCTGAATTTTCACACACTGCACCTCAGAAGGAAGGTGACTGAAGTGTAACAGGAAAATTCCTCCATCCATTTTAATTTATCACAGGCATAAATATGTAATAAATGATTTCATGAAGGATCCAGAAATAATTGCAGGCTAAAATGCTAATCACAACTAGGGCAGTCAAGAAAATGGAAATTTCATTCAAGGGAAAATGTTTTGACTGAGAAGGAAACAGAAAGAAAAGAACAAAAGGAAGAAGTGACTGAGCCCCCACCAGCCACAGCCCTAGGCAAGTTACGAGTCTGCGAGATGTAAGCTCCAAGTCTAGGTCATAGGCACGCTTTTCTGTCTATATATAGGGGTAAAGATCTGAACCATACCTAATGGTCCAGACCACAGCTCCATCTCTTCAAGAACTCTGCCTGCAACAAACTTCATGTTCTGCAGTTCAAGTTCCCTATGACCAGAGTTAGCTGGGGAACAGCAAGTACCACCACCGGGCATTCACTATTGACACCAAGACCAAAGAACACCAGATCAAACAGGCTATCAAGAAGATGAACAGATTCTGAGGGTGACACACTGATAAAACCTGGTGCTGAGAAAGGTGAATTACAACTATTTGTCTCCAAATCATAATGCACTGTTTACAGCCAATAAGCCAGGACGTAACTAAATTGCATCAAATAAAAGCTGTACAGATGACAAAACAAAACATGTAAGTTAAAAAAAAAAAAAAGCTGCAAGTGATGCCCTAAGAACAGGCCAAGCATATAAAATACTTCTCTCTACTACTCTGTCATTCTTCCAAAACCTTGCAAATGGAGTTTTACAGTTTTCTTGTGCAGATGATTCTCCAGGGGTGCCAGGAAGCAGTGGGAGTATTGAGCCCACAGCCCTCTAGGTCTCGGCCCTACACAGTTCTTTTTGGCAATCTGTGGATGCGATTTCAAGTTGAGAGTTGGGCAAACCATACTTTTAACGTCAACTGTTCAGGAGAGACTGCAAGACGAGCCCAAACCCAAAAACGCGGTTGAAGGTGCTCACATGGGGGAGTGAGCCAGGCCCCAAGGGTCTGTGCTGTTCCCAGGTGTTCAGCAGCCACCTGGGCAGCTCCATGGGCCTTGAGCTGCTGCTGAGTGTGAACACTGCTGCCTCTGCGCCGGCCTCTGCTCCCCACGATCTGGCAATTCCCCAGAGAGCAAGCAGCAGCTGCATTCACCGTCTCCTGTTTCTGTCCCTGGAAAGCTTTAATCCCTAACATGCCTCAATTTGCAGAGTTTTAGTGCCACCCCTTGGTTTATGATTACATTATCACCCCATTACAGCGTGTGCGGAGACTTCAGTCGATTGTGCTAGGTGCTGTACAGCACACCACGTTTGATCCCTTCACGCAGTCGATGTATTGTCACTCACACACCCCTTGGCAGAAAGCAGAGCAACAGCCTGCTCTTAAAAACCAGTCGGAAGGGTCTCTTACTCTGCAGCATTTCAGCCCACAATGCCTATAAAATCCTGGACTACCAGAAGCTGAGTTGTGGCTAACACAGCAGCAACCCAGGCCGGGGCAAATTCCGTCTCCTTGCAGACTGCAGCGTGGCGCTTCTGCTGGTGCCAGAAGAAAAGCAGCGCTGCTGCCATCTTCACACTGTGACCAACCATCTCACCACGCATCTGCAGTCCGTGTCCCTGGGACTGGGGGTAAGGAGGCAGTGAGAACAGGGATGAAAAGGAGGCAGATCTAAGGCAAAAAACCCACACATGAGCAGGTCACTGGAACAACGGAGAATCAAGGAAGGGAGGTAAAGGAGGAAGGCTCAGATGGCGTGAAAAAGGAGGCAGGAAAGTGAGTTGACAGAAAGACTGAGATGGAGGAACCTGGAAGGATAGTGAGGAGAAAGTGTTAGAGGGCAGGAGGAGAATGGAGGAAAGGAGGAGAAGGCAGTTTTGGAAAGCAAAGGACAGTGGAGAACTTAGAGGAATGATCAGAAGCAACAAGGAAAGGGAGACAGCACTGGGGAGTCTAACAGAAGAAAGAGGGGCGAAACAGTAAGAGACTTGGGGAGGGTGTAAAAGGGTTGACTGGGGAGAGAAAGAGGGTGAGAGGAGAGACTGAAGGAAGAAGAATGGATACAGAAAGAGGGACTGGACCAGTGAGAGAGACACAGGAAAGTGAGGAGATCTGGAGAACAGGACAAGGAGAAGGATAATAGCAGGGAAGAGAGCAAGAGAAAATGGACAAAAAGAAGGGAGGGGAAAAATGCACTGCCAGAAGTCAGTATATTAACCAATCCACGGAAGTGTCTTAAGTTCTGCAAAATTTATCATACGCTGTAACACAAAGTTACGCACATTAATTGTCCTGTTACTCTGAAAGGCTTCAGGCTGCTTTTCAGACATGCTGATGATAGAGCCGACATCACAGAGCAGAGGGAAAAGGTGGAGGCTGATCACTGGTGCTGTGCTCGTTCAGAGAGAAAGACACATCCCAGGACACCAGCCATTGCTTTTGGAAGACACCCAGCAAAGTCCTGACTTGATGCAGAAGCTTGCAAGATGGACTGATGCAGACCCACATATGTACAGGACACCCAACATACCCTAAATCCCAGGACTTCAGCTGTAGGACTGGCTCAGCTCGTTGTCGTTACATGCAGTTTAAATGCACGAGTCTTTCACATCACACCTTTGAAAAAGGGATCGTTTGCTCTCATTAAAACAACACAGCTCCCACGATATTTTCATTTCTGGATGGGAAGCTTGTTTACAGTCTCATAACTCCACTGTGCAGTGGTTTCCACTGACAACAAAAGCCTGCTCTATATAAAATACTATTCTATTTGTGGCAGATTATGTAACTGCTCTTACTGCTCTATATATCCATTCCTAAGATGCAGAAACTTGGGTCATGGGATCTGATATTCAACAGTGGTGTGAAATTTAGAGCAAAATCAAGAAAACCAACAAGTATTTCCTACGGTGACTGCAATTTTTATGAGTACTGAAACACATGGAACTACGGAATCCATGAGTTGGGTGTATTTACCTGCATGCAGACTTAAGAAAATTGTTTGTGTCTCCCTTATGTCCTCCCTTCTTTTTTTTCTTTTATAAAGTTTGATTAGTATCATCCAAGGCCATGAAACTGTTTCACTTGTGCTCTGCCAACATATTGCAGTTCTGCTCTGGCTGAACTCCTGAGACATGAGAGTGCGGTCCACGCCCTGGCCACAGACTCAGCCTTTGGTTTCAGCTGACAGAGCCCAAGGTTTTCCCTCTAACTGGTCCAGCACACGGAGGGCAACCCACACAATATAGTGTCTTATCATATTCAGAGCCCAGCACGTGCTCACTGCAATGCTATTGTTCAGATCTGATAGTGAACTTAATCAGCCAGCTGTAACGACATGTGTCACCCTGACAGAAGTCCCTGGGAAGAGTAAGTTAACAGGTAAGGCATATCTGAACTCCAGGCTACTCAACGGATCAGGAAATAACAGCTAAAACCCTGATCTTGTCCACAACCCTCTCTATGTAACCCTCTCCATGACAGAACTTTACTTCTCGTTCATACCTTCTTCTTACAGTAGTTTAAATAGAGAGTGAGTTGTTGTTCTTTCCTTTTCCGTATTTCTTCACTTGACTGGCTGTCCATTTTGTCCTCAATTTTCTGCAGCAGTGGCTCTGAAACATCCTCAAGCCATTTCTTATACAGGATCTCCTTCTTTCTCAGATTTAAGAAATCATTGTGCCTCAAATACCTGTCCACCTCCTAAGTAAGAAATGGAAAATAAAAACCATACAACCTATTGGTCAACCACATTAAAACGTCCACGGTGAAGCTATGCAGCTCGGCTGACCTGATCTGGCTGGTCACTGCTGCAAGGTCCCTGTTTTCCAGCCCTTCTTTCTGCTCCTACCTCACTCCACTTCGCACCCACCCCTTGTTTCCAAGCTCTCCCTCACACCGACTCTGGCATTCAGACTCTAATTTTTTAAGCTGTAGTGCAAGACTGGCAGAAAAATCATTCATTTTTAATGAGAGGTTAATGAGCTGAAATCACTTCAGAGCGAGGGTCTGATAAGCTCCAGACTGTGCAGGACAGGCAGCAGGAGAAGGCCCTTCTCCCTGCAGCACCAGCGATCTGCTAGATCAGATCAGCCCTCCTGCCCTTTAGTCACAGGCCCACCGTCACCACCTAATCACATCCACAGAACAAAAGTGAGGTGCAAACAGGTAAGTAAGTCACCAAGACGGGCGATTCCTAAGCTCATATTTAGGGTTACCACTTCAGTCCTATCCCAAGGAGACTAAGGAGGCCAGAAATTTGTACTTCTAAATGTAGTTTTCCAAGAATACAAATTGATAAGTTATTGTGAATCTATGAGGGAGAGAAAAAAACCTGACATGCAGGAAAGCACACAGCAAATGAGAGAAGAAATACCACTTCTTACCCTCACAAAATCATTTTCTCTGTCCAAGATGCACTGAGCAGAAGCAATGACGTCTTGACTTTCATCAGGTGCTGCCTAACAAAACATCAAAAAACTACACGAAGTAAAAGCAGGACTTAGAGCAGGAGTTAGAATTACCTTTGAATTCAAAATAATTACTTGTGTTGTGATTAAAGGCACATTATACCATAACCCAGCTGGCAGAATAGCACAGGCAGGCAAATCTTCGCGAGACTTGCTCTGAACAGTTAGGTTAAATGTAGCAACAGAAGAGTGTTGGAAGAACTGGAATGTAAATGTTAAGCAGGAC